AATATTAGTTCTTCCAGTTCCATCACATTTTCCATGCTTGTGCACTACATTCTCTCAGACACCAGCGCTGTGTGCTCAGGTGTGTTGAAAAGCTTCTGCTCCTTCTGACTCTCTGCAGGGTGGAAAGATGTCAGAGGCCAGTAGGACCCAAAGAGAGGAATCTGGAGAAGTAACGATAAATATTCCCAAAAATTTCCATCATAGTTTAATTGTTGTTTCTACTTTACTGAAACTAAGGAACGTACAATGATTTTATAAGCCGTGATTTTCTGTGACCTCTTGTGCAGATCTACAATAAGTGTAAGTACAAAAGAACACGGTCGAATCAGTTACACAAAATGGTTACACTGATAAATGGACTGCTATATTATTCCTGCCTTGCATCTGATACTTCGTAAAAGTAGCATTTCTTTATATGATCTCATAATGTGAAACAAACATCAGTCGTCCATATTTATATTTTCATCTTTATCATTACAGGAGTGTGACAATACAAGTGGGGCTACAGTATGATTGTCTGCTAAGTGTAAAGCACACAAAAAAACATGGAGCTGCGATGTAGAGACACCAGTTCGCCCAGACAGAACATGGGAGAACATGCAAACTCCACACCAAGTGTGCTCCAGGCCGTTGTGAGACACTGCACGAATCCCCACAACAAGGTGCCAACTGTGATAGCTCAGTTAAGCAGTGTTAAGCACAGATCTAAGTTATTGAAAGGCTGTTGAATATTGTATATTGAAAGGGTTGATGCAGACAGTGAACAGTGATAAAAACAGCTTTATGTGGTGAGTTCTGACCTCACACTAATGCTTGGCAATATGAACGGATCAGAATGTTATTCCAGGTGACAGTGGAATTCGTACACTGTCACAAGCCTATAAAAGGGGTTCACCCTCTTACATGTGAAGATTGGTCACATTTAATTGTGGACACCCCTGCATGTACTGTACCTTCATCTGCCTTGCTTAGTAGATCTTTCATTAGCTTCTTTGCTCTATGGGTCAATGTCAGAGTGATCCAAGGGGGTCACAGGCCTGGAAGGCCAGAAGCCTGTTCCTGTTCCTGTTCCTGTTTTTAATCGTCTGTCTCGGATGGATCACCTGGCCTTGGACTTTTGCCCTGTTTTTGAATTTCTCTTTGGACTCATCCCTGGATTGTTTGCCTCAGTCACACCTCCCCAGAACACCAACACTCCTTGGACACGCCCCCCTGTTTTTATTCCCGTTTCCTGCACGCCTTTTTTCCCTGTTTCCTCACTCAACCCCGGATCGTGTCGTCTGCGTAGGGACCAGAAAGAACGCTTCGTGACAGAAAAAGGCATCCAGGAAACAGGAAACAAGAACAGAAACTGCTTTACTTGTTTCTGAACCTCCTGGCCTTGTGTGTCTGCTGCGGTGGAGTCACACCTGAGAAAAATTCCAGAACCTGCGACAGCAAAGACAAGACCTCAGCTCCAGTGACCCCCCCCACTCCTGCCACCTCAACTTCTACAAGTAAGGAGCTTCTTCTATTAGCCTGAGAGACAACAGTCCTTTTACAAGACTGCTGAAAACAGATCTGACTTTGGTATGTTTACCCAAGAGTAAGAGAAAATAAAATGTGACTTAGTGTGTCATCTGCATCAACCCGTTTACATTCTGAAAAATGGGGTTCAGGAGACAATTTGGGTGTGAAGCACCTCACAGGAATTTATCTGAATATTTCCAGTCTGTTTCTTGATGGTCATCTGAATTACAGACTCTGATGTAAAGACACCCCCCAGCCCCCTCCAAGTCTCACAGTCTGAGGACTGTGATTTGAACGATGGATGTGATTCGAACAAGCAAGCGGAACCGACTGTGATTCAGCCTAACGATTCCAGCTGCAAAAATCTGTGGAAAAGCCACAAGCCCACTCCAGTGACAGACCCTGTCTCTGCAGTACATGAAGACCCTGAAAAAGGACACACAACTGTGAGTCACTTGGACACTGCGTGAACATTGTAGGTTTGATCCAAGAACCCTTAGATCCTATGGGGGTAGAAAAGGGTCAGAATTAGAAACTAAAGGTATTGTACTTAGGAGGGAGTTTAGGAAAAGCTTCTTTATACAATAGGTTGTGGGTTTCTGATGCAGGCTTCTCCATGACTGAAGCTGAAAGATAGAAATTTGGCAAGAGCTGCCCCGATGATGTCAATACCAGTAATGTTCTATATTATTCCATATTGTTTTAGAAATTGGCTATGTAAAGCATAAACCCTGCCTTGAACACTTAAAGCTCTTGAGGAAACAAGGGTTCATACGAACAGCTAAAGCATAAATAAAGAACATGTACATACTGAATATCTATATGATGTACACCTTATTCATTGGCCTTCTTTCCTAAACCCACAGCCGGTTGAACAGTTTCCAGGGCCAGTGTCACCAGAGGCTCCACGGGCTAATGAGAGACCCCCAACCACGAAGTGGGCTGATGTTCCTGTCAAGAAGCCCATCAGACCAGTTACTGCACCCCCTCCAGTGAGTGAGAGAGTCACAGTGCTGCCTGGACTCCCTGCTACTGCAAGTCCTTATATCGGCACTGTCTCTACCAGAGATCCTGTAATCTACACCGTTTGCTTCTTTACATAGGTTAAACATATATATATATATTACAGACAATCAAACCTTTTAAAATATTACCAATGCAACAGTTGGTTCTGGTTGGTGAAGAAATTCCAGCCCCAGGACTTATTGGCCTCCCAGTGGTGAGGAGCACAAAAAGACCGAGTTCCAGACCTCCTCGACTACAGGACACAGGACCCTCTGCTAAAGTAAACACCTTTATTAAAGCTGTCTATGCCATAGGGTTCTCCTGGAAGAGAGCAGACTTTTGAAAATGCCATGTAAAAAAGATGCGGAAGAAAGCAGGTTTCCTATTGGCATTCCCCTGTCAAGCGAGGTCCTCTCTTGTCTTCCTGGTCACTTTGCAGATAGACTGGCAGCTTCCAGGAGTGCCCATTCCTTCCCCCACCTCCTGGCAAGAGGATGGCGAGGAAGATGCTGACAGTGAGAAGGTGAACATGGTTTCGAGTTCTCAGACACAAGAAGAGCTTCGTGTCTCCCAGAAGTCTCTCAGCAGCACGGACTCTTCTGAGGAGGGCTCATACGTCCTGTGGGCTGATGTCAACTCAGAGGAAACAGAGCTGTGAAAGAAACACGTGTTTTAAAAATAGTCAATAAAAGCATCTCAAAAGAAATGCGGATTCACTTTTTTTTTCCCATTATGAAATATCTCTAAGAAACTATGTATTTTCACTTATTTCCATGTGAATTTTCTACTGACAGTATCTTCTAGCTGATGTTGATCAAGTATGTACAGTACTATAGCTGTGTCTTATCTTTTCCTTTCAGCATGGAATGAACCTTTACTTTTTAATCATATTGTATTACTTCATGAGAAGCATTGCTGAATACACATATTGGGAACAAATAAAATGCTTTCATCATTTTAGTATGATTTTTGTTGGAGTGTTCTCTTAATACTATCATTTCATACAGGGACACATTTGGCTCTTCATCTCCAAGTGTTCCCTGATGACAGAGACAGCATTTTGTAGTACCTCTGTAACACAGCAGGCGTATTTGACAGAATCCACAGACAGGGCTTGTGTATACTTTTTTTAATCAAGTTTACAACCAATAACACAAAAAAGACAAATCTTTGTTTTTGTTTGGGTTCAACGGACAAAAAATTACCTCTGACCTTCAGAGATCCTGTCAGTTACTTACACATTGTTGCTACAGATTTTAATTGCTGATTAGACTGCATTTTGATTTAGGTTGAAGGTAAGCTATATAAGAAAGGATCCTAGTTTTGTTTGAAGAGAAAGCTCTTTTTCTTTTGTGTCTGACCCTCCATCTCTTGATTTGTCACAGATCCCCTCTTCCTCACAAAGATGAGGAAAGGTTTTCTGGCTATACGTTTCTGGCTGTATTTCTCATTTTTGTTTTAAGAACATTGTATCAAGCAAAAGAATCCACATGTGAGCGGGGAGATTATCTTTAAAATGTATAAAAAGTAGAAAATACAACTAGAGGTTTATTCCCCATCCATTGAGATCCAGGAACAACTGCACTTGAATATATACCTCAGTTCTATAAATGTGAAAGTTAAGTTGTGCCTAAGATTGTATATATTAATATCTCCGGGTGCATAAAGCTATTTAAAATTAAAATTAGAAAAACAAGTCAAACATAAAAAATAATGTTTTACAGGTTAATTTAAGGCACTGCATAATTTCCAAAGAAAAATAAATACATAAATTAAAAGAGGCTATAACTTTGTAAGAAAGTGATCTGTAAAATTACATATACAGTATGTGAACTCAAAAACCGGTGTGATATCCAGGGAAGGAGCTATGAATTATTCAAGGAAGTCACCTTTGTTAAGTTTGTAAGTTACACAGTTCCTTCTTTTTTCACCTTTATTTATAAACCAGCAAATTTTACTGAAATTTACTTTTCTTTATTATATTGTTTCTCTCATAGAATTCTATGAAAATGATTTGCTTATGTGATGTATTACTGTGATTAGTTGTTCTAAAATTAATGTGATTTGAAATTCAATCTACTAGATGGAAACTGCACTAGGAATTTGGTATGATAAAGAGTTAAGAAAGGAGATGATTTTCACAGCTCACATAGTTAAAAATCCTGTAACAAATATGTTTTAATTTTTGTTTTTCATTGCCAAATTAAGCATATTTCCATCATTTTTCTAAATTAATTCAGTAGGTCCCTGCTTATATGAGTAAAACCGATTACAAGGTAATCAGTTCCAACGTTATTGTTTCTCTTCTTGAGAGAGACAAAGTCAACACTTTTAACAAGTGACTAAACAAAGTGACTAAATTCTTTATCTGTATTACAGGTTAGCTACTTTGGTTAGAGTGCAAGTCTTAGTTACAAAAACAAATTCCCAACACAAACAGTTCCAAGTGATTATTTTCAGGCCAGGGCAATGACCAAATTACTAAAACAGTTTTGGTTGGAAATATTGAATAGAGATCATTTGAAATGAAGTTTAAAGGTTTGATATCTGGATTGAATTTACTGAAATTATTCCCATGGTGCACTTTAAGAAAAAAAACATGCAAATGTATCATTCGCATAAAGCAGTGTACAGCAACAGTTGTCATCTCTTTTGCCAGTGATGAAGATATCTCTTTCATTCTCATTGGTTCTGGAGGAAGTTGTGAATCACATCACTGATCTTGCCACAGAAATTTGGATTACATCTTCACTGGTTACAACCCCAAGGAATTTACACTCCTTGGAAGGGACTATAGGTTTTTCCCTGCACAGTGCTCAGATCAAAAGACTCAAGTCCTCCCTGGAAAGATTTCATCCTGTTTCATCCTACTGAGCCATTCATTGCTGAATTTGGAAAACAACATTTGGCTGCTCTTTAGGTCCATTGGCAATAGAGAATGATGCTCTCACATCTCCTGCACAGAATGATTATGATTATATATGATTAGATAACTAACTACTTACAATTATATGACTCAGTTATCACATCACTGAACACCAGCCATGGCTGGAGGTATGAATGAGGTGTATGGAGTAGAAATTTCATGTTAAGCTTCAAAATACTTTATTTGTATTTAATATGCTCCAAACGATTTGTTTTAAAGCTTGTTCACTATCTCAAGGATGTGGACGGTAACACACCTGTAGGAGAGAAGATATTTTGACAAAAATGGAGATCCGCAGCATCATATGATAATGCTGAAATTCATGAGACTGAAAAATATTTTTACATTCCTTTTAAGATATGAAATGTAAATTAAATAAGAATGGAAAAGGGCAGTGTTTCTCATACAGTTTATGAGTACTTCCCCCTATAATGTAGCAGGTAGCAGATAAATGCATAAGATGAGTCACTATTTTAAAAAAGTGATTCTATATTAAGCCTTCTTAATTGATATCAATCCTGTGGAAACAAAATTAAGATTTACTCCTTTTATAATGCTGGTATCACAGTAACAGCATGTAGATAACAGTGAAAATCTCTGCCTGAGTTTAAAAAGACTTCGGCTTCTCCTCACAGGTTCCTCAGTCAGTGTGTATCTGAGTAACCTGTCTCCCAGGAACATGGGAAGTTGCTTAGAAATATTAAAATTCCATGATGTTATAGTGATCCTCCCTTTTTCCCCATAAGACTGTGTTGACAGGAGCAGGAGACAGCAGGATTGTAAGGTTACTAGGTATCTTTGCCCTTAGCAATGAACTGGTGTGTGCTCATCACCGAGAGATAGAGGGGCAGGAAGTGAGTGTGTGGGGGTAAAAAAAGGGAAATGGTCAAAGAACAGTCCTGGTCATGTTGTTGATTAAATTCAATAATCATGCTGTGTGCGATCGGAAGATTAAATGACATTCCAGACCAGAATCTTTTTGTGATGGCGTTGTACTAAGGGCTGCTGGGGGTTGATGCTATCCATCGTGATATAAGCATCATGATATGAAAATCGTACTGGCATATATTTTTATCCTTAAAAGAGATTTTTCCGCTGCTCAGAAGTTTGGTGCTGGTGGCTGGGGAAAAGGGAGAGATTTTGAATGCTACTGCTCATGAGGTGAAAGTCTTAATGTGTGGTACTTTTAAATTTCTTTTGGGGATCCCTTGGTTTAACTTAAAAGAGGGGTATCATCAATAGTAGGGGGAATATTGTTGTCTGTGTGAACCCCTATCATATTAACGTTGTGATACAGACAGTTTATGATGTTCTACCTTGTCCATCTAACTTCTTCTGTTGGAGTAAAGGTGATTCACCAGCATGATTGTTGTGCTCATGATGAGGAACACGGGAACACATCCTCAGCTCTTGCCGAAAAACCCTTGGAGAAGGCACATTAAACTGACAGGTGCGAAGGCCTTAGTGGACACCATTAAGGAAGGATAACTAACAGCAGTGAAAACCAGCGTTTGCATTCGTCAAAGCTATGCAGCAACAACAGACGCAGTCCAAAGTGTCAGTGGATCTTCTGGTAACGCTGTAAGACTTTCAGCTCAAGGTCAGCCTAGAGATGCAGCTTACTGACAGCTCCTTGACACCGTTACAGTGACCTCGCTCAGGCCAGACATTGAGACATCAAGCAAGTTGTCATGCTAGAGCTAACAGTTCCATGAGAGGAAAATACCAAGACCTGGTTACTCAATGCCATGGGAGTGGGTGGAGAGTATACTGTAGTGTGAGCCCTTCAAGGTGGGGTACAGAGGATTTGCTGTGGAGCCTACAGTCTTTTTGGTCATAACAGTGGGGAGCAAGAGGAAAGCCATGACAACCACCATAGAGGTTGCAGGAAGAGCCTCAGGATGGCTATGGAGGAGTGATTTGTGGGTAACAACACCACCCACCACCTGGACACAAGCCGTGGCTTGATCGACCCTGGCTGGGCCTCTAAGGGTAGAGTGTCTGATGTTGAAAGACCTGAAAACATCCAGTGAACCAAGATCACATCTCTGATGACGTATCCAAGTGCATCTGGATGTATTTTTTCCAACATCTAAAAACTTAATTCAGGTCCTTTCAGCAATTTGAAAGTGTGAGTTCACAACTCTTGAACATAAGATGTACAGTATGTAAAGTACATAAGAAAAAATGACAAATGAGAGGAGATCATTGCTAGTAACTAATTGATTTGAGGACCTAATCCAACTAAGCCAACCGGAGCATCTGCATAAACAACACAGTTGCATAACTTGTTCTAGCATCCCACAACCCTAAAAAGGTGGTTCCGTCCTGTTTCTCTCCCGTTTTCCTCTGATTCATGTTTCACTGCTGATTCCACAGAAATCCACTAGGTTGAATTGTATTATTTTCTATTTCAGTTTTTAAAAAATATTTTCTTTTTACCTTTTTAGGGGAATCAATAAAAAGAATGGCAGGACATATCTTGAGAATAAAAGTATGGAATTCAAATCAAGGTGTTCTGCAGAATTGTACAAGCCACTGGTAGAATATTGTGCACAGTTGTGGTCACCACTTTGCAGAAAAGATATTACAGCTTTGAGGTCAGATTAGAAAAGAATTACTTTTTTTTTTTGCTATGAAAACCATTTTCAATTCTCTTCTGTTCGCTTCTGAGTGCCCTTTAGTGAACTGATACACAGCATACCTTGTTGGTATTCCGACAATTAATCAAGTCGGCTTCCCAGATATACCTTTTGAGAAAGTGCACCA